TTGGAGTCACTTGACACATCGGGCGTGGTGGTGAATGAGGAGATTAATAGCATCCTCTGCAGCCACAAATAAGAATTATAATGGGAGTGTTGCCTACCCAGCGCCAGAGTAAGAAATATCGCAGGGTGGCTGAAGAGGAACTTGGAAGGGAAGGGGCAAACCCAGTTGTCATGGTCCTAAATGGAACAAACATCAATAAAAATAGAGGGCTTTCTTTTGAAAGACTGTCAGGAGTTTGGCTCTGAACAAAAAGCAGGAAATCAAGGGTAATAATCTTTAGATCAGTGTTCAAACCATTGGCAAATTGGCACAGGAGCAAACATAACAGGAGAATTAATACAGGACTAATAGTTTATTGTGGGAAAGCAGATTTCCTTTTCATGGAACTCTAGCAACAATTCTTGAAGATGGTGGCGGGGCATGATGGACCAATGGGGCCAGCTCCACTGATGGAACCCCTGTCCTAAGAGAGATGGTCAATAAGGAGGTGGGAAAGTCTTTAAGCTAGTAAGATGGTGAAAGGGCTCTACAGGAAACATAATTAGCCTTAATGTTAACAAAGTTATGAAAGTCACAGAACCTATTTTTAATACAATCTGAGTTTGTGCACAAATATTCCATTACATTTTACATGGTAATGTTGTTTAGCAGCACACTAGACAATCATACTCATGAAATACATGATAAATTATTCTGCTGGTAAAATGAAGACTCACAAGCCCAAAATAGCAGATACTAAGGCCAATTAGCTGTCCACTGCTGTTGTTCAGAAACGAATATGTTTGCAGATGTGCTAGACATTTCCACACAGATGAATCCAAAATGAAATAAGTTATTTTTTAAAAAATTGATGTGGTTATAAGTTTATAAATTTCCCATCAACTATATTCCGCAATCAATTAGAGAAGATTCTGTGAAGTTTCTCCCAAGTAATATGTTGAGTACTTTGAGCCACCTTTCTGAAAATGCCAATATTGACAAGGAGACCCAGCAATAGATCAGCTTCGCTTGTTCAACTTTCTACAAACTAGAGGAACTATTAGGTATTTCACAAAAAAGACCTCAAAGTCAAAAAAAGTCATAGTTGTCAGAGCAATTGTCGTCATCTTATATCTGCGCTGCAGTGAGACTACACTCTATCAGTGACACGCATAGCATGAGATGAATTCCATCAGCAATGTTTCTGCTAGATTCTCCAGTTTCAGGTGGAGGACTGTTGAACCAATCCCAGCCAGCTCATTACCATTCCAGCAAAACAAACTATGATGGATTGTCCAGAAAACCTAAACCATCTCCCTCACAAGGTCCTGATTTGTCAACTCTCAAATAGCCAACATAAACAGGGCAGGTCAAGGAAAGTGCTTCTAAAACACTGAATCTCTCTTTGATACGCATTAACACTGACCTTAGTGACTGGGCAGAGCTTCTTACCAATCATTCAGAATGGCATCAAGCTGCACCATGTTTTCAGACCCAATATCTTAATAATGAGGCAGAGCAGGTGCAGAAATGGAAGAGAAAGGAAGCAAAAACTGCATGCTGGATCCCACTACTGCACATGATGTCATTTTCCATGTGCCCAAAGATATGCAGGTCAAGAAGCAGCATGTTCACTCACATGAAGACTTCTGGCAGAAACTGCGTTGATGTCATCCCTGACTAGGGGGACAGCTGATGACTTAGAACAACAAGCAACATCTTATTCTACAAAGCCAACCATTTAATTGTTTTTCCAACTCAACAGCATAAACAACACACTAGCTTTCCAAGAACACAGTGAATCAATAAATACATGGAGGTTATGTTTAAGCAGTTCAGCACAAGGCTGTATCCCTGATGCTACAACACTAGAGGGAGCACTTCCCGCACAAGTACAGATACAGTCAGTAATAGGGCAGTAAGGAGTTATCTCAGTGAAAGAGATCACAATGCTGAACGTTAATGCTACAAGCTCATTGTAGGGAGGATCTAGAGTCTTCATTTCAAGATCAATCAATTGATTATGTATAATTCTATTGAACAAGTCACAACAGCCAGAGTAGTACAGCTTATTTGGTTTAAAAATGGTCAAAATATGAAATTAATCCTTTTAAATGGACTCATTCATACTAAAATAAATGAATTGCACATTCTTCACTAACTAAAATCAGTTTAAAGTTCTTACTGATTGCAATGGAATTTTTCTTTGGAAAATACGAGACAAAGTTTTCAAGCTTAAAGAACAAATTGACAAAATGAATTCATTGCCAAATCGATCATGAACAAATAGGTTAGGTATCAACTGCTACGCACTAAACTTAAGAAATTTGGAATATTAAGTTAACAGAGTTGAAGAATCAAACCAGTACGAAAGCCGTTAAAACAGATGCTACAAATGAGTTCAGGGGCAATGAGTTAGATTTCTGATGGGAGGAATTGAAAAACACAGGACTCAGTCAGGGACGCTGGTGCTTGAGAATGATCAAGTTTGTAACAAATAACAGATTATGCCTGTGTATGCCAGTGGCTGCAATGCAGGCCAAACATGCATGCACACCAATTCCTGGTTGACTGACACCAGGAGTTATAGTATTTGCAGAAGACAACAAACTAAAAGAATGGGAATGATTTAAACCCAACAATGTGCAAGTGGTACATGACAGTAAATCAGATAGATAAAGACCCCACTTCTTCATCTGTCTGAACAATTGTTTCAGATGTCAGCCTTAGTCCAGTAATAGTACTCTTGCCTCCAAATCAGACGTTTATGATTTAGGAATGACTTGAATTTCTACATTACCTTTCACAACCTTGGGGCATTCTACAGTGTTTTACTAGTTACTAAATGCTTTTGAAGTGCAGTCATTGCTATAATTCAGGAAACATGCAGCAAATTTGTGCACAGCAAGCCCCACAATCAGTAATAAACTACATATCACAAAAATAGATTATATGAGGAGAATCTTCTGCTCTGCTACAAATTATGGCTTTTTTAATATCACTTGAAATGGTTGATGAGACCTCAGTTTAATGTTTGATCCAAAAATTAGCAGCTCAGACAGACCCAAGAGGGTGAAACTAGAGTTTGTCTAATTGGAACAACATGGCCTTGTGAATCATTGGTTTAACTATTAACAGCCATCATCCATTGAAAAGAAATGTTTCAAGGTGCTTCATAAATAAGCACAAAGAAATTCAATAAAGAATTGAGTAACTAGAAAGAGTTATCTAATACTTGATCAAAGTAAAGGACCTTGAGTGTTTTATGAAAATGCAAGAAAGGTTACCAAGTGGAGAGGTTTATTCTGTAGAAAGAACTCCATAGGGTTCAGACAGTTTACAGCATGATCAATTGTGGAGTGAAGGGGAGCAAGGGGCATCAATAATTGTTGGTAAGACATTGTCTTTAGGAGGGCATCACCAAGAAAGGGGGTACAATCTTTTTGAGGCAGCAAGGATCTAACCTGCTGGTTGGTGACAGACATGTTGCTTTTCAAAGAGAAAGCCGAAGAAACCACACACTAATCAAAGCAGTGGCCAGTTCACCAGTGGGCAGTCCCCTGGAATCAAGATCCTGGGTAGACATCCCATCCAGTGAGAACTGCCAACCAGAGACTGGGTAACTCTTCTACTCAGCATTCCCAAGGCTGAGAACTGTAACTGTTGGTGGAAAAGTACATCCATAATCCCAGGGTCACTGAAGATCCAAGTCAGGGATAAGTGATTTGTGGGGAATAGTTTTCTCAAGTTGAGTGTCATGGGAGATAGGGGTTGGAAGCAAGAGCAGAATATTAAGCTCCTGGCAGGCAAACGCCTTAATTGATCACTAAGGTCCTCAATGGTTCCAGGTTAGAAAAGTCAATCATGGACCTGCTGGTCCAGAATTTAAATTTGGCATGGTTTGGCTGTGTCCTTATCCCATCCTAATTAAGTACCCTTTCCTTCAGAAGCAGAAGATTGCACCCAGGGATTGATATAGAATAATTTATAAAAAAAATAGAGATTGAATGTTGTATTTTAGGAATGCCAGAGCCATAGATCAGCAAGGACCAGTGTAATTGTTAAGTGGAATTTAATACTGAAGGATACATGCAACAAAACGTTGGGTATCTTGAAATCACTGAACAATGAGAAGCCAGCAATAAAGAATTGTTAAATTTAATGGTAGTACAATGTGTAGATCTGTAACATTAGGGATAATACCAACGGGGAAAAAATAATAAAAGTGTAAGCAATCTTGGAGATCATGGCTTCATAGCCCATTTCCAAGCTGCACAGGGGATCAAGTTTATAAATTTACAAATGATTCAGCTGTGTGTGGCAACAGCAAAACTTTTACTGTCAAGTAGTAGAGGCGGGAAGGCACAGAAATGATGCGGTTCACCTTTCCAATGTTGAGCCGGGAAAGTGGGAACTAATAAGGGGCAGTTCACCTCCATGTTTAAGGGTGAGAGGAGTTGGAGAGGGCAGAATGACACATTTTGTTTTTAAAAAGGGGCTATTTTGATTACTAGTCCATTTTCAGCGCTACTGAAACCGGATTTCCAAGTTGTACGATTGTTCTAGCCTATCTTGCACTGAAGAATCAGAAACAGACTGTAACAAATAAATCCACGACTATGCTTTACGGCATACGCATAAACAATATTGAGTTGGACCTTTATAAAATGGTAATGCCAGCTGGAAAAGTTTATCACTTTTAAAGATGTGGCCAAATCTTGTAGAGCTCAATTTCAAGAGCACTCAGAAACAAAAAAACCATTAAGCATACTAATTACACAAACAGCGTCTGTTTTTTTTCATAATTTAATTAGTTACAGGGATACTTACAGCATGTTTATTTGTATGTGATATTAGATGATACATACATGTGTTTAATTGGAAATAACTAAATAACAACAAATAATTGGAAATAAACTAATATTAATCGGTAACCGCCCATTGATAGTGCCACATGTTCATTGTGAGTTGTATCCATTCACAAATACACTTTTGTCGCTCCCGACACACGTTGTACTCACGTTTTGACATTTTTATATATGCATCCCTTGTTCCTGTGAAAGATAGGGTGTTTTCCCCAAACCTTGAAACTCTGAAATCGCCATGTACTTTGACACTGTCAATATTAAATGAAAACACAACCTCGGAGCCGCTGCACCTGCAGATAAAAAGTTGGAACCACCTCACGCAAAATATTGCGCTCCATTAACAGCGCCTCTGCGTTGGCAGACTGGAAGCTTCAAACAGCCTTAGGTTATCTCCAATGAAGCACAAGTCTAATATGTTCACACATTAACGGGGAGAAAGAACTAAAGAATGATGAAAGAGAAATGTTGTTGGCCATCATTTATTCCCAACCCTAACTGTCCTTGACCACATGATGGTGAGGGTTGAAACTTTACACTCCATCTGGTGTATGCACAGTCCATCTGGTTTAAGTACAATAATCACATTAGGAGGGAAACTCCAGGATTTTGACATGGTGAAAGAAGGAGCATAAAATTCCAAATCATAAAATTCCATCTTTTATTTACAGATCCTTAGCCAACAAGGATTTTTTTTAAAAATTTTGTCACTTTCTCATCGTCTCTGGAGAGTGCTGTCTTTTGCCTTACACGAGTATATTTGGGATTAAGGGGATAAAAATTTTAATCCCAGATTATAGTCTAGATGTTAACCAGTGTTTGCCACTTGTCTAAGAATAAACTTTGTTTTAAATTAATGGGTTATTTTAGGCTCATTAGAAGATTCCTGGGGAAAGTTTCTTACATCCCAGATTGTGCTATGATTCCACCTGATGGTATTGCTGGACAAGGCAGACGCACAATAAAATCTGGCCTGATAGATCATATGTTTTAAAAACTTAATATACCATGGTGGTAATTCACTAAAATATAGTCATAAAGGGCTGCAGATTTTCTTTAAAACAGAACATAGGTTTATTATATAAAAGATAAACAGAAAATTAAGAGAACAATCTACCTTGTTGAAATGATAAACAGTTCAAAAGATCTTAAAACAATCAAAAACAAAGTCTCATCTTGTTTCCTGATACTATCCATTACAGAAACGCAAATCTGGTGAAATTACCTGTCCGTATCAAATCTTTACATTAAATTTCACTGATTTTTCATCAGTTCTTTCATGTAAAAACTGTGAAATCTTCTCATAAATACGCACAAAACTAAGAGTGTAGAATTTGTCAGATTTAGTAAACTGCAAATTTACAACCAAACATCCCTGGTTTGAACATTTCACAAAGTAAACTTCTGCATTCAGGTAACTATATTTTCCCAGAACTTTCTTACACTCTTTTCCAGGAGAGAAACTATATTTATTTCTGAATCCAGTCAGATCTCTTCCAAACCATCTCCAAAACTTGCAATCTCTGCTTTTTCTAGGCTAAAATCAACCCTTGATTCTCTTGAATAAAAAAAAAGCTAATGTCCTCCAAAGTTAACCCCACCTATCATAAACCACCACAGCACAAACAATCTTCCATTAACACTCCAAAACACCTGTGTCTTTGACACTTTTTGAATTAGGTGACTATTACAGAAGGACTGTCTAATCTCATTTATTTAAAACCCTATAGTAAAGTAACCAACGCCATATATCACTATGTTAAAAATTATTCTGTAAAAATATATATATCAATAAGAGACATCTTACACCACAATAGTAGCGCAAATAGAGAATCAACTGGTCATCCTGGTGATTAAGTCAACAAATTTATACTAATTGTATGGCTGGTGGGATAATGGGGCTTGATTAGCAATATATTCCTCCTGTAACATGGTTTGGGGGAGTAGTCTAGGATCTTGGATGTGGATGTTAGAAAACTGGACATGGGGTAATACTAATTTCAAAGGTTAGAAGGAAAGATACCATGTTTTGCATATTATAAAAGCAGAATGGCATTGGAAGGCTGAAAGCTTTCCTGTAGATGGAGGAGGCATCCCTGACCAGTTTACAATATTTAACCATAGCTAAGCCAGTAGAATTGTGATCATGCTTACCATTACTGTCATGACTAAGAAGGTAATGTTTCACAGAAATCTAGTATTTCTTGCAGGACTAGTTATTATTCTTCAAGGTTTTGTGACTTGATCTTCATGCAACAAGTATTTTATTTTATGTATATTATTGAGTTAAATAGTCTATCAACAATTATGATTTACAATGGATTGTTAGCCATCTACATTGGTGCTACATTATGTGAATCCCATCATTGCCTTTAAAACATGATGCTGCATTTTGTAAATTTGAATTATATTATTATACTGTTTCATCATACCAAACTGTGTATTCTTCCAGTTCTTAAAAAAAAAACTTTTTGCTGTTAGTGATGACAATGTTAGAAATCACATGACACAGGGTTATAGTCCAACAGGTTGTTTTGAAAAACACAAGCTTTTGGAGCCTTACTCCTTCTGAAGTATGCATTTCTGAAGATGGAGTAAAGCTCCGAAAGCTCGTGTTTTCAAATAAATCTGTCGGACTATAACTTGGTGTCATGTGATTTCTGACCTTATCCACCCTAGTCCAACACCAGCACCTCCACATCATGGCTACCAGTGATGGCAATGTTAGTACTGTGAGGCCCAACTCTGTTTACAGAGTTTTTCTGAGTGTGTTTTGACAATCTGAATTTAAAATATTACGTGATTTGTTCCTTATCTATGCATAACTGTGATAAAATGCTTACTATCTTGTGGCAACCTTTATTGATGTCTGATAATTGTATTTGTTATTGTCTGTTTAACCTAAACCTTAATTTAACATAAAATATTTCAGTTGCCAGTCATTAAGTGAAACTATTGCTGGATCAATTTTCTGGTTTGTTTAAATAGAGCCATATATATTACCTCTAAAATAATTTCCTTTGTCTTGAGGAAATAGGTGTCCACAATTCTTATCTACTCTTTGGAGGGAATATTGAAATTCAAAGAGGATGCCAATGTTTGTTTTCTCTAATACAGTGTGGCTCTCATCAACTCAAAAGTATGTGATAACATAGATAAGCTTGCCATTTTTGGAAAGTTAGCAGAGCTGTTGGCTGTAATGGCTGATTCAGTGGGATATTCTGATGGAAAAGTCACTATAGCCTCAAGGTTGTTAGCTATGAAATAGCATTGCAATAGGTTTTATTTAATTCATGAATTAGTGAACAACTGATGTTGCTTCCACTTCCCATTCACCCAGGTAATAAAATTAATTAATATGGATAGTTAGGCTGTCAAGAAAGGATTTAAAATTTCCTGTAAGGCATTTGCCTACTGTATTGCATTAACTTTTGTTTGAAGTTATCAAGCTTAATTATCACTGTTAAGTTAAGGAATGCATTGTCATTTAACCCATACTTGGCTCAGTATGAATTTCTTTTTGTAAGAAACCAAAACATAGCTTCAACCATACATTTTCATGGCATGGGGTCTTCCATCTATTTTAGTGGCAAGAGTACATAGTGAACAACCTATATGGTCTCCAGTGAAAAATACTTTGGCAACACTGCTGCACACTAATCCACTCACTCCATATAAGGATCAACATTTTAGATTTTGGTCTGCTTAAGAAAATGTCATTTAGAGATGAAAGTGTACAAAGTATTTTGGGGAAAAAAAAAAGTCACATCTTTATAATTGTCAAATGTTTTCAGTTGAGAAAATCAATCCCTTTTATCCATCATAACTTTAAGGGATAATCTGGAGAAACTTTCTTCACTGCACATGTGCGTAGTGGTGGCTGGGGATTGCACTGATGTATATCTGTGTATGGCCATGCACAGGTTGCTATGAAACATTTCACAGCAGAGTCTGGCCCCTAATCAGGAACAAAAATAAAGCTGCTGGAAAAGTTCATTAGGCCTGGCCCCTAATCATCCTGGAACCCCTTTGCCTTTGGACTAAGGCCTGGTTTTGTTGAGACTATCTTGTGATCAACATGCACAGCCACAATACATTTTGAAAACATCATGAACAGGCACTTTCCACTTGTCAAAATGACAACTAAAAATAATATTAGTAACATTCTGATTTCTCTCAATCTATCTGATTGATAACCTATAACAGGTACCAATAGATGGTACATACCAAAATCTTACTTCTAACTAGCAATAATCCTATAACTACTGATAGTCATGCTGAAACTACAGTCAAAATCACCTATACTGCACAAGATCTAGTCAAGCTTCCCAATTGATCCCATCTTTAATAAGTCCTTTATTTCTGGTTTGAACATGAACTTTTTGTGAGGATGAGAACTTTGAATTGGCAAGTGAGTCAAAATTGATCATTGCTTGGAGTTTACATACTAATACTGGCGGCTGTGGAATGATATGAATGAAACAAAAGGTTTCACAAGGGGAAGTGGGCTTGGTACTCGTGCTACTTTTGAAGGAGTTCCAAACTCCTAAACTCCAAGCCACTCTGAGAATTTCCACAGGATGACAGGAATTACAGCACAAATAGTGGTTATTCAGCCCCTGAAAAAATGAATGTTGGAACCAGGAGTAGACCATTTAGTCCCTTGAATCTGTTCCATGAATCAGTAAGATCATGGATGATCTGTTCGTAACTCTATATTTGCCCTTATATTCTTTAACATTGCTAGATAACAAAATGCCATCAATCTCAGTTTTCAATTTACAGTTGATCTAACAATCTTTGCAGAAGAAAATTCCAAGCTTCTGCCACTCTATCTATGTGGATATGATTCTTCATTTCACTCCTGAAAGGTCTTGTTCATATTTTTAGACTATGCTGCCTAGTTCTGGATTTCTCAACCCAGCAGAAATGATTTCTCTCAATCTTCTTTAACTGTTCTCGTAAATATCTGGAAACAGTTAATCATATCACCCTTTATTGTTTTAAATCCCAAGGAATACAATTATTATTTGTTTAATTTCTCCTCATAATTTAACCTTGTTGTCCAGAGACCATGCTGTTGAATTGGTTCTGCACTTCTGCCAAGGTCTTCCTTGAGGTCAGGTGCCCAGAACTTTCTCACAGGACTCCATGTATGGTCTAACCAGGGCATTAGATATAAAGCGTTCTCTTTTGTCTTTTCCACTATCTTCTGTACCTGTTCATGATATTATCCACCTTTGTGTATATTATCGACAAGTCTTCTATTTCTCGTCCGGAAGTAACCCCTTCTGCCACGGTTTTGCCCATTCACTTAATCTATAAAATGTATTCAATGTTACACATCCACTACACTGTTTAAAATTGCACCTTTTTTTGTGGTCTTGGTAAATTTGGGCATATGGCTTTCTATCCCATCGTTCTAAGTTCAGTGTAATCACCAAAGCCAATTCTGTTTCGTTCTATTCTGTGAAATGCTGCCGTTATTCTCTGCCAAACGGCCGCGCAGCTTGCCTCAAGAGCTAAATAGGAAGAAGGCAAGTCTCCGGCTGTCCAGTTCCGAGCGGCGGCGTTCAGCTGTAAATGGGAAACGCTGGCGCTCGGGGGCGCTGATGTATTTGGGACAGTCCGCAATCAATTGGCACTGTTCACCATTCACAGGGGATTAAACACTGACATAGACTATTCTACTTATTGCTGAGAGGAAACAAAAATACCATTCGCGAAATCTCAATGTTACAGTTTTCGAAAAGAAAAGGTAAGTCTTAAAAGTCAAATACTTTCCGACAGCATTTCACCTGTTTTGCTGTTTTAGTAAAATATTACGTTGAAATCCTGCGGACCAGTAAACAATATAGACTGGGGAAGCTTTTGTGTTTGTTTTTTTAAACAGAAAATGATAACTGTAGGATGACAGAGTTTCCTGGTGCGCTGCTTTTCCCGAACATACCTTTCAGGTGGGTCACACTGGATGGAGTGGCTCTTGTAACGTTCTCAAGAATTAACTTTGGTATGTTCACAGACTGCTACTTGAATTGTGCAATACTGATCCTCCGAATTATTATTTTGTGATTTTTTTTACTCTTCTTTTTCACCCGGTTCTATGTCAATGTGTGAGACTTAAGGGGGTGCCCAGTTAAAATGAGGTTCTTGAAACGTAAAGTCATTTTAACCACCTCTGTTTTACTAAGTGGTGAATAAAAGCAGATATTTGTTTTGGACAGTGAACCACTGACAGAATACGTCAAAAATACAGAAATTAGAAGCATGGGATGTGGTGGGGAAATTACGTGTTAATGCTTTATGTGTATATCTAATCGTGATTTTTTTTTCAATGTTGTGCTTTGAAAGGGAAGAATAAACGATTGGCATTGGCAATTTTAATTGTCATCAAACAAGAATTAAATAATGCAGAGGGGCCGCGTCTTTTTAAAGCAGCCGGAAAAAAAGTTCACATTCTAAGTAAAAACAAAAACACCCCGAAATGTCCGTAGCCCTGCTCTCCAGCCTTTCTGGTGTCCATTGGTTTCAAGTCTAACAGTAGATACTCCACGCTTCCTCGCCAGGGCTGTCTGAGACGGTGCTTTTAAAAGTAAAATTGCAAAATAAAACTTACTTATCGATGCTCCTTGTTTATTCTTTGCAGAATGCTGGCCTCACAGCATGAGGAACCCGGGTTAGATTTTACCCCTATGGTGCTAGTTTGCACATTCTCCCCAGACCATGATGTACAGGTTACAAAAACAAAGTTGCTGGAAAAGCTCAGAGGGTGTGGCAGCATCTGTGAAGGAAAAAAAGAGTTAATGTTTCGGGTCCGGTGACCCTTCCTCAGAACTGGTTAGTTGGATTGGCTAAATTGCCTATAGTGTCCAGGGATGTGCAGATTTGAGTGTACTGTCCATGGGAAATGCAGGGTGAGAGGGTAAAGTAGTGGGGTGGGGCTGGGTGGGATGTGTGGCCGATTGGCCTGCTTCACACTGTAGGGATTCTACGATTGTTAACTGACAGCATTTACTAAAGCATTTCAGCAGTGTTAAGATGTTTGTATATTATAATAGATGAAAATTTTTGATAGGTTTATTAACCCATTGAGAAATTAAATTTACTATTGAGTGATATTTTCTTAATACTGTATGATTGCATGAAACTACTGTGAATATTTTTCCTTTGAACGATTAAATGAGTAGAGGGATGCTTTATAGGTATAAATGGCAAGAAAAATGTCCACTGCTTGTTCAGGACCATGATTCCTACCCAAGCTTTATACGTCACTGGACCTGACCTTGCACCAACCAAGCCTCTTCCCCAGGGGCCATTCCTGTGGTTCCTACACCAAACTTTGATCCCTGAAGTAAACTGTTTGTCTCACTTACCAGAGTCTTGTGTCCAGCATTGGTGTTCCTGATGCAGCTTCACCCTCCTGACCCAGGTCCAGGAAGATCTGGTTTAACCTGGTGCGGACTCTTCTCCCCATTAGCACCTCTGCTGGAACTATTCCTGAAGTTGCTAGAAGGGTGGTCCTATAATCAAATAAGAACTGGGACAGTTTGATATCTAGTGAAGCTGTAGGCTGTTTCCTGAAGCCTGCCTTCAGGGTTTGACAACTCTTTCTGCCAGGCCATTGGATGACTGACAGTCTGGAGCTGTCCTTGTATCCACAGAATCCCTACAGTGTGTAAATAGGCCGTTCAGCCCAACAAGTCCATACTGACCCTCTCAGGAGCATCCCACCCAAACCCATACCTCTACCCTATCCCTGTAACCCTACATTTCCAATGGCTAATGCACCCAGCCTACACATTCCTGAACACTATGGGCAATTTAGCATGGCCAATCCACCTAACCTGCACATCTTTGGATTGTGGGAGGAGACCAGAACACCTTGTGAAACCCATGCAAACACTGGAAGAATGTGCAAACTCCACACACAGTTGCCCAAGGTTGGAATCGAACCCAGGTCCCCGGTGCTGTGAGGCAGCAGCGCTAACCACTGAGCCACCATGCCACCCCATTTGACTTTAGGAAACACTTGATTTCCCTGTTGGTAAATGATGGCCTGGGAATCTGTGTATTACAAAACATGTTCCCAGCTTTTCAATGATCAGGCCGTGTTTGACGAATGAACTCTATGTACGTCCAACCAATTGGAGCGAGCGTCTACAATGACTAAGAACATTGAGCCCATGAAAGGCCTACGTAGTTGATGTGTAACTGGGTCCAAAGTTTATTTGCCCATTCCCATGAATGTGGTGTAGCTGCTGGCTGTAATTTTTGTCCTTGTTGGCACTCTGGACACTGCCCTATTTATGTGGCTATGTCTGTATCAAACCCTGGCCATTAGACATAACTTCTCACCAATTTCTTCATTTTGGAGACCCCTGGATGACCATGGTGGAGTTCAATCAGGACATGGCAACGACCTTTACTCGGGACAATCACTGCTGCTCCCCATAATGATATGCCGTCCTCTACTGTGATCTGATCTCTCCAAGTACACAAAGGTTTCAGTTCTGGTTGTGACAGCACTTTAGTTTCCCCCATTACCACCAGCTGTTTGTTTTGCCAGCATTTTGTTTTGTCCAACATTTGATATTGTCAGCTGTGACTGGATGTATGCCCAAAAAGTTTAAAACCATTACAGACTCTTCCAGTGGTGTATCTGCCATTGGGTGGAGGCTCAATGCATCAACATTCATTACTTGCCCTCCCAGACTGTATTCCAACTTGTAGTTATACAGACTTAGTATTAGAGCCCACTGCTGAATTTGGCCAGAAGCTGTGGGTGGTGGGTGGCACTGCCTTGTTCTGTTTAAGTAGACCCAACAAGGGTTTGTGGTCTATTATCACAAATTTACATCCGTAAAGGTATTGGTGGAACTTCCAGACTCCAAATATGGTCGCCATACCTTTCTTCTCTATCTGGGTGTAGTTACACTCTGCATTAGCCAAAGTCCTGGATGCATATGCTATTGGGCGTTCCTCTCTATTGGGCTACAACCCTGATGCCATACGGGCAGGCATCGCATGTTGATACCAGATTTCGCTTGGGATCGTAGTGTGTCAAAACCTGAGAGGATGATAGCTGTTTCTTTGCTTCCCAGAAAGCTACGGCTTGGCTATGTGACCATTTCCAATCCTGACCCCTTTTTTAGGAGTTAATGTAAAGGTGCCAGGATGGAGGCCAGGTTAGGTATGAACCGAAATAATTCACCAGCCCAAGGAAAATCCTAAGCTCCAGTGCAGAAGTGGGAGCAGGGGCACATTTGATCACACTCGTTTTATCTTTCAATGGATGTATCTTGGTCTTGTCGACTCTTGGTCACATGGGGTGCCTGGAACATGCATATTTCCCTTCTTAGACACTTTTCCCTTCTCTGTCTGGAAGAACTGTCTAATTACTACGAACAAGTTCTCTCAGTGCCCCTTACTGGTCTTTCCTGTTATTAGTACAGTATCTCGATAAATGGCGACCTGGGGTAGACCATGTGAAATGTTCTCCATCATCCGCTGGAAAATGTCACAGGCTGTTGATACTCCAAATGGCAATCTCGTTTATTGGTAGGACCCCTTATGGGTATTAATTGTTGCATACTTCCGGGAACCCTCATCAAACCGCAATTGCAGGTATGCATGGCTCATGACCTGCTTTATGAAAGATTGCCCTCCTGCCTGCTTTGCATATAATCCCTCACATCAAGGATTTATGTCTTTATCCAGCGGTGAAAAGCAGTTTACCATTTGTTTAAAATCCCCACAAAGGCGAACCAACCCACTGGGCTTCAAAATCAGTCTGACCGGTGTTGCCCATTCCACAAACTGTACTGGTTTAATGATTCCTTCACTTTCTAGCCTTCTGATTTCTGCCTCTAGTTTTGCCCATAAGACAAGTGACACTGGGCAGGCCTTGCAGAATCGTGGAATTGCTTCCTGGTCAACATGCAAGGTGACCTTGGTTCCTTTTAACAGTCCCTAGACCTTCCTGAAAAACCTCTGGGTGGTTAGTTAGGACTTCACTCAGGCAGCCATTTTCTAGTCAAAATGTTCAACCAATCTAGTTGAATCTCTGTCAACCAATTTTGCCCCATCAAGCTTGGGCCCAAGCCTTTTACTATAATCAGTGGTAACTGAACTAGCTGTTTCTGACCGGAACCGAAGTTGTACCCTTAACCTGTGAAGGTTTCCCAGTATAGGTTCTCACTCTGGCCAAGGTCTTGCACAAACTTAAGGGTAGGAGTCCAGAGCAAATTTTGTTAAAGACTGGTTCTGCAATCACTGACACAGCCACAGTGGTACCGAACTCCTTTAGAACTGAATGACCATTTAACCAGACGTTTATTTTGCTTGGTTCTGATTTGGATGATACTAAGCAATTTAATTGTTTCAAACTAGGTGTAGGTGGACTTTCCAGGCTGTGCACTCTCCTAAATATTGGTCTATGTGTTGTCTTGCTCGGTTTAGGTCTAGTCGACTGTTTTGCTGTCTTCAGTCTGCATTTCAGCAGCAACTACAATGGCTTGTTGGCCTGGATCCTGAAGAAAGTTTTAACTGTTTGGCCAAGGCTTGGTTTTGTTTTGGGGTTTTGCTGTGAGCTGACTTGGAGTCTCTCTGTTCAGGATATGTCCTGAGTGAAGCTATGCAATTGCCTTCACTCAAGTGGTGTTCCCCAAGCTTAGTCAGAGTGTCAAGGGTATTCACTTTCATTGAAATACCCTGTGGCTCATATGCTCCACTTGCTACATTTTCCAATGATAAAGCCAGTTGTAGTGCCTTTTTGGAGTCCATTTGGACTTCAGCTAGTAAGCGCTTTTGCATGGTTACATCAGTTACATCCCATTCTTGTCAAATAATGCTGATCTTGTTAATGTTGATCTTGCTTTGCACACCTCCTGTGCAGTGTAACCTGTATGTCTCACTCTGTCTAAGCACCCTGTGATCTATATGTCCTTGCTTACTGTGACCTGCCTGTACTGCTCGCAAACAAAGCTTTGACTTTACTTGGGTATACGTGAC